CCCCCCCCCCCCGGCCCCTTTGATGTCTATCAGCGGTTCACACCACTCCCTCTACTGACCTGAGGTCACCCTCCGTAGACCAAGTCTCTAATGTTCCTGACAAGCCTATAGGTCTGAGGGCAGCCACAGGTTAGTCTGTGTGAGACCACCTATATCCTGGGGTGTTGATCTCCCATTCTCCTACAGAGCATTCCACATCTTGGCTCCTGTCCCTGGATTAAAGGCTTCGTAGGGACGCCTGGGTGGCTCAGTAGGTTAGGCATCTGACTTCAGCTCAGGGCATGATCTCTCGGTTCATGAGCTCACAGCTCAGAGCCTGGAGCCCGCTTCGGATTCCGTGTCTCCCTCACTCTCTGCTCCTCCTCCGCTTACGCTCTGTCTCTCTCTCTCTCTCAAAAACGAATAAACTTAAAAAAAAATTTTTTAAAGCCTTCCTAGGAAATGCTACGCCCCTGCAAACTCGAGATGAAGCTTGCAGATGAAATCGGTGTGGCAGGGGCGGCGGGACACGGGGCAGCTGTAGCTCAAGGTGGCGTGCCCAGGGCGGCTGTAGGGCTGTCAGAGCAAAAGCCAGCTGATTTATTCCTTCTCTTCACCAACTGGACTTAGCCTCTTCTGTGACTTTGGTTCTAACACACTGACTTTCTATGAGGCAGGGATGGAGATGATTTTGTGAGCCCCTATCTTTTGAGGTCATCTGGCGTTGCATATGTAGATGATCATATTGTCACCAAATGTCTTTTTCTTTATTCGCACCACTTGATAGTTTATTGTTCTAGCTGTGTATTCCACACCAGTAGCTTGTGCACAGAGCCCTCTTTTTCTCGCCTGAGACATATCTCAGGGTAGTGAAAGGAAACGTGAATCATGACACACGATATCTGAGTCTGGCTGAGAGGCGCAGCATAGCGTGGGCTCTAGATGAATTCAGGCCATGGATCCACACTGGCCCTGCAACCTAGCAGCAGCGTGACCTCACTCACGTTAGCGTACTCTCTGAACCCCTGGTTCTTTGTCTGCGGAGCAAGTGTGAGAAGCCCCGCCTCCCAAGACTGATGGATGTACAGAATATATGTGGCAAATCCAGCTCAGAGCCTGACAAGTACGCAGATTTTTTTGAAGAGCGATTATTCCCATGATTATTTTGACCCAGACAATATCACATACCACGCTGGGTTTTTTTTTTTTTTTAAATTGAGGAGGAAGTCAAAGAATATGCAATATTCTAGAAAAAAACTCAAAAAACCCAAATCAGCCAAATTCTACTTACTAAGTAAAACTAATATTTCTCCATAAAATGCTTAGTCATTTGATGCGGGCACGTAGTGGACTTCCCAGTTGGATACGCCATGAAGCTACTACAGGTGTGCAAACGGCAGTGACTTGCTACCCTCTCAACTGTGCTTGCATTTAATCCATCTCTATTTTTTTTTATTTAGAGAGACAGAGAGGGAGCGTGAGCAGGGGAGGGACAGAGGGAGAGAAAGAGAATCCTAAGTAGGTGCCACGGAGGGGCTCAATCCCACAACCCTGGAATCATGACCTGAGTCGAAATCAAGGGTTGGGCCCTTGAGCGACTGAGCCACCCAAGTGCCCTGATCCATCTCTGTTTTTACTCATTTCACCACCACCAAAAATCTAGACCTCATTTGGAATATTCCATATTACACAGAAGAATGCCTAATTTAGGTTTCTTTTTAATGGAGTGATTGACGCCTACCCTCCACCCCCACCCCCACCCCAGCCAGGGCAAAGTGGCTGACAATCACCCTTATTCTTTTTTTTTTTTTTTAATTTTTAAGAAATGTTTATTCATTTTTGAGAGAGAGAGCTGGGGAGGGGCAGAGAGAGAGGGAGACACAGAAACTGAAGCAGGTTCCAGGCTCTGAGCCATCAGCACAGATCCCAATGTGGGCCTTGAACCCACGAACTGTGAGATCACGACCTGAGCCGAACTTGGATGCTTAACTGACTGAGCCACCCAGATGCCCCCCACAATCACCCTTATTCTAAGAAACTCTCTGGACACTGAGTGCACAAAACACCTGGCTAGTGCACCTGCTCAGGAACAGCACAGCAGTCCTTCCACCCGTCCCAGGTGGGCGGGCACTTGTCTCTAGTTCACCACATCCCTCAGGAACTGTTAGGAGCCATTTTCCATGGCCGACCTAGTCTGTCCGTTGAGAGACCCGCCATCTGGGGTTCTGGTCCCCGCTCACCATTTCAACAGCTTCAGCTAACCCTCCATGCAGCCAAACTTAACATTCCCTCCCACAAAGGGACCGACAGCTTCCCAGGCTCCCAGCCTGCCTTGGCTCAGGGTATGTATCCCGGACTGCTTCCACGTAGAATCTCCTCCCTTGTTCTCCCTTCTGTTCACTGCCCTTCAGGATTAGGGATGTATCTCACCATGTTCCTTATGTGATAGCTTCTCTTGGACTCTGAAATGTCATTGGCAGGGTTTGGGCCTGGCGCACACATCCTAGAACTCACAGGAAGCCTCCAAAGAGCAGGTGCTCCACTCATGCTTGGTGAACAAAAGGGATAGTGAGCAAGAATTCTAATTTACGACAGTTTGATTTCTCCCACATTCTTGAAAAGCTAAGCAAACCCAGGTATATACCTTTTAATTTTACCAAAAGAAAGAGTGAAAGGAATAAGAAAAACCAAGAATTAACCACTTTTTATTTATTTCACTATCTTGTTGCCTCAACTGTGTCAATGTGGGGTTCTCTTACATTTTACCAAAACTCCCTATTCCAGTGCTATGTGTTTCTTGTATTGGATCACAATAGAAGATGCAAGGGTTTTCAATTTGTCTTACAAAATACAAAACCGTTACTCTCAAATGTGGTAACCAGCAATACATATGCGAGCCACGTCATTCATAAACGTACATTCTGAACTTACATCAACTTTTTAAAAAACAACACACTGGAAAGCTAAGAAACAAAGAGGTAAATCTATATGCTATTTCTAAACAACAGGAACACAAAGAAGAACTATACTCTGCTGTCTCCAGCTCCACCTGACTCCCCGCTGCTTTAAGGTTGACAGCACTTCCCGACTACAAAGTGAAGGCCCTGTCTTGAACTTCACTAGGGATGAGAAGTGCTGCTGGACGAGGCCCCGGCGGCAGCTGTGGCCGCAGCTCTGGCCTGGGCTCTCTCTTCCTCATCTCGCAGAGCCTCCTCATAATGGGCCTGGAAGGCACTGGGGACAGTATCGCTGGCTTTGGCCAAAAACTCTAGGACCTTCATCTTGCTGGTTTCAGCGTGGGCCCTCGGACCCCACAGGAACTCATAGCGAGGAGGATCACTGTCGGGTACCTGGCGGTACTCCAGGTACTTTTCCTGCACCAGATCTCTGGTGATGAGCTTCCTGGGCTCCCCAAAGAGCGGGTGCCTCCTCCCAGCATAGACCCCCAACACATTCAGGAATTCCCACATCTCCTCCTCGGTGGCACGGTTGTCATTCATGAAGATCACACTCAGGAGGGGCATCAGGAGCCCATTCTTGGGAAAGCCCACGCCGTCGCTCAGACGCCCTTCAACGGGAAGATCCCCTTTCCTAACAAAGGCATAAGACTGACCGCTGGGGTCAACCTCCTTCAGGTCAAGGCCAAAGACCAGCCCCATGCGCTCAGTGGTCTTCCCGAGAATCTCAGGGAATTGCTCCTGGTGCTCTTCGCTGATAATCTGCAGCATTTCTGCCTTTGTAATGGGTTCTCTCACTTTATACTTGTGCAGCAGAAATTGCACCAACAGGCCCGCCTCTTTGCTCAGATGATCTCTGAGAGCGCTTTCAGAGGAAGGCAGGGCGTGGGACAAACCTGGGCTTTCCTCCCCTTGGCTCTTGGCACCTTCATCAGAACTAGAGCCCGAAATGGCTGCAGCAGGGCTGCTGGCGGACCGGGCCCTGGGAGACTTCTGGGGAGAACCTGCTGCAGGGGGGCGCGGGGGAGCACCCTCAGAAACAGGCAAGGGGGAGGAGGGAGACTCTACCACTGCTGCAGTGGCCTGAGCTCCCGCGAGACCCTGGCTCTCACTTCGGGCCTTTTGGCATTTCTCACGGGCACGGAGCTTACTCTTCTGACCTCGAGGCATGACCGTGCCTAGGAATGGCGGGCTGAGTGTCACTGGAAGGCCCGTGCTGTGGGCACCTGGAGGACGAGGATAAAAGGGTGTGAGTCCCTTCAGCAGGGAGATGTCATTGTGGCTTTAAGAATGCCCCCCCCCCCCC